TCTTACATGTTAAGCGTTGGTATTTCTAATCCGGTGACTCGTGACAGTAATGTTTCTAATTCAGAGTACCACAAGAAGCTCTCAAGGGAATTGGCTGATTTTCTACAAGTGCCTCTAATAGTATGCTAAGATATTTTTGGTTGCCATTTAATGTGTTATTTTTATTCCAGCCAATATTGTATTACATTTTCTGCTACATATTGATATCCTTATGCTCTGTAGAAAATTTGAGTCAATTCCGACTTCAAATTTTCAAGTGACAGCCATTTTTAAAAATTGGCCAAAATCTGAAAAATTCCCTGTACTATAGCCCATGGTTTTTTCCCAAAAATGGCTCCAAAATCACCCCAATTTTTATTACATTTTCTGATACATATTGATGTCCTTATGCTGTGCAGAAAGTTTGAGTCAATTCCGACTTCAAATTTTCAAGTTACAGCCATTTTTAAAATTTGGCCAAAATCTGAAAAAATCCCTGTACTATAGCCCATGGTTTTTTGCAAAAAATGGCTCCGAAATCACCCCAATTTTTTATTACATTTTCTGATACATATTGATGTACTTATGCTATCCAGAAAGTTTGTGTTGAATCCAACTTCAAACTTTCAAGTTACATCCATTTTTTAAAATTGGCCAAAATCTGAAAAATTCCCTGTACTATAGCCCATGCTTTTTTTGAAAAAATGGCTCAAAAATTACCACCAATTTTTATTACATTTTAAAATACATATGCGTGTCCTAATGCTTTGAAGATGCTTCCAATATATTTTTATTAACAATAATTATTATATTATTATCATTAGGACTCTGGTGGTATGATATCGGTAACTGACGTGTACTGTATGTACAATAGGGCGAGAGGTCTTGAGCTAGTCTCTCCAGATGACGTCGTGAGTGCCTGCCAACTGTTTCAATCACTAGACCTACCTATGAGGTATTACATGCACATACTTATACATATTGAATATTTATTTATTATTATTTTAAAATTATTTATTTATTTATGAAGGTTGAGAGTGTTTGATAGTGGCGTCCTAGTAGTTCAGTCTTTAGTTCATAATGAGGCTAATGTTATTGAAGAAACATCTAAACTAGTAAGGAGCATTTATATTAGTAATAATAATAATAATAATAATTGTATTTTTTTATTTAATATTTTATAGATAACAGAGCATTCCTCATTAACGGCACAAGAGCTGTCCAATTTAGTTGGTGTCGCCATCATGCTGGCTACTGAAAGGTGAGGAAATCATTAATTAAATAAAAATTAATATTATTATTATTATTAATTTTGTCTCATTATAAAGGTTATTATTGACCGAGGAAGCCGGTAAAGCTTGTCGTGACGATTCTGTAGAAGGTTTGAGATTCTACCCAAATAAATTCATAGACCAATGACATTAATTTACATTAGATGTAGCATAATTATAGATCTATGTGTTTTTAAATTTAATATATTATGTCACTCTTTAAAAATGTAAACGTTATGACTTGTGTAGTACGAAGGGGCTGTTTTGTGACTACCATCCAATTCAAGTTTATTTTTTATTTTGAGAGGCTATTGTGGTTTATTTCAACAGTATATTCACAGGGGCATGTGAATTGATAATAAAGGATTCCCTTTTTCTCAGCCAATTTTACTGTCATCATATTTGCAGTATATCTTTGTTCTTTTGCCGATCAAAAGCTCTCTTCTACCTTTCAACAGTTCTTTATGCCTATGCATATTAAACCAGCTATCATTCAAAGCCTAATGTCCTCTTTTTTATGTCTTATTTTAAAATAATAAATAATAATATAATACACAAACTATAAGAGAGAGAGAGAGAGAAATAGAGTGTTAAAAATTCAAACTAATAATAATAATAATAATAATTAGAGCAATAAAACCTGCCAATCGGCAGTAATAGTAATAATAATCATAATATATAATCTAAGTTAGTATCTATGTCTTTTAATGCGTGGTGTGGTGGACATTGTGGTTAGAATGGTAATGTCTCTGGTGATGGTAGACATGCTACCCTGTACAATCTATAGAGAATCAAT